TCTCTCGAGAAAATTCTAAATCCGCCCTCCCTCGAGAAAATTCTAAATCCGCCCTCTCTCGAGAAAATTCTAAATCCGCCCTCTCTCGAGAAAAATCAAAATCCGTACTCTCTCGAGGAAATTCTAAATCCGCCCTCTCTCGAGAAAATTCTAAATCCGCCCTCCCTCGAGAAAATTCTAAATCCGCCCTCTCTCGAGAAAATTCTAAATCCGCCCTCTCTCGAGAAAAATCAAAATCCGTACTCTCTCGAGGAAATTCTAAATCCGCCCTCTCTCGAGGAAATTCTAAATCCGCCCTCTCTCGAGAAAATTCTATATCCGCCCTCTCTCGAGAAAATTCTAAATCCGCCCTCCCTCGAGAAAATTCTAAATCCGCCCTCTCTCGAGAAAAATCAAAATCCGTACTCTCTCGAGAAAATTCAAAATCCGCCCTCTCTCAAGGAAATTCAAAATCCGCCCTCTCTCGAGAAAATTCTAAATCCGCCCTCTCTCGAGAAAATTCTAAATCCGCCCTCAATCGAGAAAGTTCTAAATCCGCCCTCTCTCGAGAAAATTCTAAATCCGCGCTCTCTCGAGAAAATTCTAAATTCACCCTCTCTCGAGAAAATTCAAAATCCGCACTCTCTCGAGAAAATTCTAAATCCGCCCTCTCTCCAGAAAATTCTAAATCCGCCCTCTCTCGAGGAAATTCTAAATCCGCCCTCTCTCGAGGAAATTCTAAATCCGCCCTCTCTCGAAGAAATTCTAAATCCGCCCTCTCTCGAGAAAAATCAAAATCCGTACTCTCTCGAGGAAATTCTAAATCCGCCCTCTCTCGAGGAAATTCTAAATCCGCCCTCTCTCGAGAAAATTCTATATCCGCCCTCTCTCGAGAAAATTCTAAATCCGCCCTCCCTCGAGAAAATTCTAAATCCGCCCTCTCTCGAGAAAAATCAAAATCCGTACTCTCTCGAGAAAATTCAAAATCCGCCCTCTCTCAAGGAAATTCAAAATCCGCCCTCTCTCGAGAAAATTCTAAATCCGCCCTCTCTCGAGAAAATTCTAAATCCGCCCTCAATCGAGAAAGTTCTAAATCCGCCCTCTCTCGAGAAAATTCTAAATCCGCGCTCTCTCGAGAAAATTCTAAAACCACCCTCTCTCGAGAAAATTCAAAATCCGCACTCTCTCGAGAAAATTCTAAATCCGCCCTCTCTCCAGAAAATTCTAAATCCGCCCTCTCTCGAGGAAATTCTAAATCCGCCCTCTCTCGAGGAAATTCTAAATCCGCCCTCTCTCGAAGAAATTCTAAATCCGCCCTCTCTCGAGAAAATTCTAAATCCGCCCTCTCTCGAGAAAATTCTAAATCCGCCCTCTCTCGAGAAAATTCTAAATCCGCCCTCTCTCGAGGAAATTCTAAATCCGCCCTCTCTCGAAAAAATTTTAAATCCGCCCTCTCTCGAGAAAATTCTAAATCCGCCCTATCTCGAGAAAATTCTAAATCCACCCTCTCTCGAGGAAATTCTAAATCCGCCCTCCCTCGAGAAAATTCTAAATCCGCCCTCTCTCGAGAAAATTCTAAATCCGCCCTCTCTCGAGAAAAATCAAAATCCGTACTCTCTCGAGGAAATTCTAAATCCGCCCTCTCTCGAGAAAATTCTAAATCCGCCCTCTCTCGATAAAATTCAAATCCGCCCTCTTTCGAGAAAATTCTAAATCCGCCCTCTCTCGAGAAAATTCTAAATCCGCCCTCTTTCGAGAAAATTCTAAATCCGCCCTCTCTCGAGAAAAATCTAAATCCACCCTCTCTCGAGAAAATTCTAAATCCGCCGTCTCTCGGGGAAATTCTAAATCCGCCCTCTCTCGAAAAAATTCTAAATCCGCCCTCTCTCGAGAAAATTCTAAATCCGCCCTCTCTCGAGAAAATTCTAATTCCACCCTATCTCGAGGAAATTCTAAATCCGCCCTCTCTCGAGAAAATTCTAAATCCGCCCTCCCTCGAGAAAATTCTAAATCCGCCCTCTCTCGAGAAAACTCTAAATCCGCCCTCTCTCGAGAAAATTCTAAATCCGCCCTCTCTCGAGAAAATTCTATATCCGCCCTCTCTCGAGAAAATTCTAAATCCGCCCTCCCTCGAGAAAATTCTAAATCCGCCCTCTCTCGAGAAAATTCTAAATCCGCCCTCTCTCGAGAAAAATCAAAATCCGTACTCTCTCGAGGAAATTCTAAATCCGCCCTCTCTCGAGAAAATTCTAAATCCGCCCTCCCTCGAGAAAATTCTAAATCCGCCCTCTCTCGAGAAAATTCTAAATCCGCCCTCTCTCGAGAAAAATCAAAATCCGTACTCTCTCGAGGAAATTCTAAATCCGCCCTCTCTCGAGGAAATTCTAAATCCGCCCTCTCTCGAGAAAATTCTATATCCGCCCTCTCTCGAGAAAATTCTAAATCCGCCCTCCCTCGAGAAAATTCTAAATCCGCCCTCTCTCGAGAAAAATCAAAATCCGTACTCTCTCGAGAAAATTCAAAATCCGCCCTCTCTCAAGGAAATTCAAAATCCGCCCTCTCTCGAGAAAATTCTAAATCCGCCCTCTCTCGAGAAAATTCTAAATCCGCCCTCAATCGAGAAAGTTCTAAATCCGCCCTCTCTCGAGAAAATTCTAAATCCGCGCTCTCTCGAGAAAATTCTAAATTCACCCTCTCTCGAGAAAATTCAAAATCCGCACTCTCTCGAGAAAATTCTAAATCCGCCCTCTCTCCAGAAAATTCTAAATCCGCCCTCTCTCGAGGAAATTCTAAATCCGCCCTCTCTCGAGGAAATTCTAAATCCGCCCTCTCTCGAAGAAATTCTAAATCCGCCCTCTCTCGAGAAAAATCAAAATCCGTACTCTCTCGAGGAAATTCTAAATCCGCCCTCTCTCGAGGAAATTCTAAATCCGCCCTCTCTCGAGAAAATTCTATATCCGCCCTCTCTCGAGAAAATTCTAAATCCGCCCTCCCTCGAGAAAATTCTAAATCCGCCCTCTCTCGAGAAAAATCAAAATCCGTACTCTCTCGAGAAAATTCAAAATCCGCCCTCTCTCAAGGAAATTCAAAATCCGCCCTCTCTCGAGAAAATTCTAAATCCGCCCTCTCTCGAGAAAATTCTAAATCCGCCCTCAATCGAGAAAGTTCTAAATCCGCCCTCTCTCGAGAAAATTCTAAATCCGCGCTCTCTCGAGAAAATTCTAAAACCACCCTCTCTCGAGAAAATTCAAAATCCGCACTCTCTCGAGAAAATTCTAAATCCGCCCTCTCTCCAGAAAATTCTAAATCCGCCCTCTCTCGAGGAAATTCTAAATCCGCCCTCTCTCGAGGAAATTCTAAATCCGCCCTCTCTCGAAGAAATTCTAAATCCGCCCTCTCTCGAGAAAATTCTAAATCCGCCCTCTCTCGAGAAAATTCTAAATCCGCCCTCTCTCGAGAAAATTCTAAATCCGCCCTCTCTCGAGGAAATTCTAAATCCGCCCTCTCTCGAAAAAATTTTAAATCCGCCCTCTCTCGAGAAAATTCTAAATCCGCCCTATCTCGAGAAAATTCTAAATCCACCCTCTCTCGAGGAAATTCTAAATCCGCCCTCTCGAGAAAATTCTAAATCCGCACTCTCTCGAGAAAATTCTAAATCCGCCCTCTCTCCAGAAAATTCTAAATCCGCCCTCTCTCGAGGAAATTCTAAATCCGCCCTCTCTCGAGAAAATTCTATATCCGCCCTCTCTCGAGAAAATTCTAAATCCGCCCTCCCTCGAGAAAATTCTAAATCCGACCTCTCTCGAGAAAATTCTAAATCCGCCCTCTCTCGAGAAAAATCAAAATCCGTACTCTCTCGAGGAAATTCTAAATCCGCCCTCTCTCGAGAAAATTCTAAATCCGCCCTCTCTCGATAAAATTCTAAATCCGCCCTCTTTCGAGAAAATTCTAAATCCGCCCTCTCTCGAGAAAATTCTAAATCCGCCCTCTTTCGAGAAAATTCTAAATCCACCCTCTCTCGAGAAAATTCTAAATCCGCACTCTCTCGAGAAAATTCTAAATCCGCCCTCTCTCCAGAAAATTCTAAATCCGCCCTCGCTCGAGAAAATTCTAAATCCGCCTTCTCTCGAGAAAATTCTAAATCCGCCCTCTCTCGAGAAAATTCTAAATCCGCCCTCTCTCGCGAAAATTCTTAACCCGCCCTCTCTCGAGAAAATTCTAAATCCGCCCTCTCTCGAGAAAATTCGAAATCCGCCCTCTCTCGAGAAAATTCTAAATCCGGCCTCCCTCGAGAAAATTCTAAATCCGCCCTCTCTCGAGGAAATTCTAAATCCGCCCTCTCTCGAGAAAAATCTAAATCCGCCCTCTCTCGAGAAAATTCTAAATCCGCACTCTCTCGAGAAAATTCTAAATCCGCCCTCTCTCGAGAAAATTCTAAATCCGCCCTCTCTCTAGAAAATTCTAAATCCGCCCTCTCTCGAGAAAATTCTACTTCCGGCCTCCCTCGAGAAAATTCTAAATCCGCCCTCGCTCGAGAAAATTCTAAATCCGCCTTCTCTCGAGAAAATTCTAAATCCGCCCTCTCTCGAGAAAATTCTAAACCGCCCTCTCTCGAGAAAATTCTAAATCCGCCCTCTCTCGAGAAAATTCTAAATCCACCATCTCTCGAGGAAATTCTAAATCCGCCCCTGAATACAACAATTAAAAATTTTGCTTTTAGAAGTTGAATCAAAACTTGCTTATTTATAAGATGTTTAGTCTTATCTTAAGTTGGAAGTAGCTTGAAATTAAATCTGACGAGTTTAAAATTACGAAAGTTTTGTCTAGTGTACTTGGCTACATTTTACCATTACTTACTCTACACTAATAAAATTTGGAGAAAAAAAGAAAGATAGGTCAATCAAATTGCGATATAATAAATCATTAACAGAAAATTTTATCTATAGAACGGTTTCCTTGAAATGCATGCTTATCATCCCATCCCCCACTCATCTATGAACGTAAGTTTAGTTTGTACTTACACCCCAGTCAAACCAACATAGGCAAGTATCCAGAAGAATACCCAGAAAACACTGGTCGAAGCCACTATCTCTGGAATCAGCGTCTCGCCCGAGATTCCCAGCGCTGACCGAATCCCAATCCATTTCGAGGGTTTCTCCTTCTTTCTAGCGATGCCCATTGCTCTTCTCAATCCTGCCCATTTCGAGACGCGCGGAGTAGAACTTGCGACGGAGTCTGGGGATTGATCTCCCAACTCCCCGTTCGATTGAATTCCGAATGCCCCCTGATATTTTTCGGGTGGCACAGAGTAATAAACAGGAGGCTCCTGGGGACCGTTCTGCGATTTTTCTCGGGATGGACCTACCCGATTTGAGTCCATTTTGCCAGCTGATAACTAATTTTTACAATTGGTTTGTTGTTTTATCTAATTGTTGAGATCTACCACTCACTATGGGCCAGAGATAATTTTGGCAACTGTGTGGATTCAGAAATAAAGAAGCCTTTGAAGATAACAAATATGGTAAAAATTCATTATTTTGGTGATCAATTATGCTTCTTTAAATATGCGTCAACTGATTTCAACGTTCGCAAAAGTCAACGTTTAACTTTTTTCGAAGCTCCGAATGTATAAAAAGTAAATTTTCATGCCTGCGCGAGAATTTGAATAAAATAAAAATATATGGTTTGCATGCAGTAAATCGAAAATATATCAAAAACACAAGCTTCAGAGATGAAAAAGATGAATTATCGTTGATAGTGAGCCAAGTGGCCAAAAAGATCAATCGAATTGAGACAAAAGAGCTCTCTCAGCTATTACAGAGGTTATTACATTAAATTGTTCAGAAAAATTAAACATGTAACCACACAAACAAAAAAAATCTTTTTCTGCAACTTGATAAATTGTTGAAAATTAAAAAGTTCGAGGTAATATTTTTGTATTAATCTCGACAGTACTGTTTCTTAGAACTCAATAAATATTTAAAATTGTTTTGGTAGCAGTTTGACAGCAATGTAAAGAAAACAACCAAAGTATAAAAAATATAAATTTTAATGTTATGTATTTTTTGTCTTTTATTATCCAGAGGCTCCGGAAATAAACTAAACTAGAGAAAACGAGATGAAAAGTTCCGCTCGAAAAACTGATTTCCGGAACATACGCTACTTTTGCCGAGATAACCTTTTATGAGACATCATTGGCTGCAATTTTTTCTTTGGATGATGTGGCAGGAAGAACATGCAAATGCGAAATTCTGTTTTTCAAAACGAAGTTAATTTAAAAAACAAGCGGAAGAAAATTTTTTTTTGTGGCCGCTTTGCAATGATGATTTTGAGCTGAAAGAATTTGAAAGTTAGATTTTTAAAATAAAGAAATTTGAATGATATAGACAAACTAGATATTTTAAAAGTTCATAAATCATAGCAACGAACGCTATAGCAACTTAATTGTTATTAGCGTATAGCCCTGATCAATATTGAATTGCAAAAGAGAATCAGAATTTGGAAAAAAATTCTCTATATTTTCGGTACCCCAACAAACATCTGATGATATTATAATTTTCGGTGTTTCTGTGATTCGCTGGCGATTAGCCTAAAGGATGGCAGCCTGGCAAATGATAGACTGTATGAAATTGTCTCAACATTCTAGATAGAGTTATTTTGTGTTTAAGGAACGTTTTTGTGGTACCATTCATGAAGCCGAAGCGTTCAAACTGGTGCTAGACTAAAGATAGAGATAAAAAGAGAGCTTGCCCAAATTTTATCAATGCGATGCCCGGGAATCGAATAAATGGCAACTCTGCTGATTAATTTTACAGCGTGTTTCTGCAGTATCTCAATTTTGTCTAATTTATTGATTTATTTTAAAAATTGAATCAGTTTACCTCGTATTGAAAAATCTGGGGTTTAAATTTCATATATTGGAACTTTTAATGCGCTTTTTTGGCATCCTGTGACTGCTGCTCATCCTTTTGTTATTTACCCACTTGTTCAGTCCACGTCTGAAGTTAAGTCTCTACCCAGAGTGTGATTTAGAATGAGATGTTCAAGGTCGTGACAGGTATCCCCAACTTGACAATGTGCTAGAGTGAATTAGAGATTAATGAGCTCTCACTTTTTATTGATTGATGAAAGAAAGCAGTTTTTCACATTTTGAATTAACGTAACCAAATTGAAATCCGTTTACTGTTTTGAGTTGTAGACTAGTTAGAACATTTATAGTAAGGTTGGGTGGAGTATATCACATGGCGCAGCCAGCAGTCTTGAATCGCAATGATCATTCAGATGTTTTAGGAGTTCCAGTTTTTTGGCCTAGATCAATTCCAGGCCCACATTTTGGTTGCCAAATGGTCGGTCAGTTCTTTTTAGCAATTACATTCAGGGAACATTACGACCCAAACAAAAATTTAATTGACTCAGCTGAAGTGTTTGATGATTCAAACCCAAGGCAGAGAGGGTAGAGAATCCGAATCCTGTTAAGCGCCATCAAGCAGAAAATAAAGGAACTAAACGCCAAACAACGCAAAAACCGGTAACAAAATTTTTTACCACGAGGCATATCGGAAGGCGAAATCAAGGGTGTTTTTTTTTCGTTAGGAAATAAAGAAAAGATACGTTTACTCCAAAATTTTGCTCACGTTAATTAATGATTTGACAAGCAAAGTGCAACAAAAATTTTTGACGAACAATGTGCAAAAAACTTTATGAAAAACAAAATATTTTTTGTTGAGCGTATGCATCTTCACAATTAATTGCAGAAAGAACGAGGTGGAATAGAAGGATTTTCTTACTTGTTTCGGGCAGAGCAGCCTAATGCGGATTGTCGATTCCTAATGAGAAGGAAAGTATACGAGACCCATTTAATGCTGAATTGCAGCTCAAGGATATCCAACGTGAACTATTTATACGACCCAGTGAGGCCCCAGAGGATATCCTAAAGTCAGCCCTTCTACTAGAAAAAGACTATGCCATTGCCTCAATTCTGCTGCAACGGATGGGTTAAAAATTGTCATCTCATCAGAATCCGTTTTCACGTCAATATTCCTTCAATATCAAACAAGAATGGTCAAAGGTGGTTCAAAAAAAATAATCTGCAAAAAAGAATAAGGAGAGCCTGGTACAGCAGAAACTGGACGATTCGAAGAAACCCATCAGGGAATCTAAAACCTGCACGTTTTGGGGCAAAAATTATTCATCTAATCATCCTCAATCATGTCCTGTGAAAAACATTATTTGACAGGCATGTAGTAAGATTTAACATTAAGCCAAAGAATGTAAATTTCCCAAGAATGTTGAAAATACAGATGAAGAAAAATGCAATTTCATCGCTTCAGACAGCAAATCTGAATTCTCGGTGTTAAGTATACCAACCAACATCGGTAAAAACATTTCAACGAAATCATTCCAAGCAAATCAATCTCAGGTCACAACCGTTCAAATGCGTCAAAAGGTTAGAAGTGTTCCACACAATTTCGGGGTAATGGGAAATTAGGTCACTACAGTCCACAATCAGAATGAAAATGGCCTTCTTTAAAGCAACAATTGATACATGCTTTCCTGCTTCGTTTTTCAAACAAGCGTACCGCAGATGTCCTCCCACGGTCCCGTAACACTGTACAAACTTTATCATTTCAAGACAACCCCGTTGAAACAATGTATGTTGACTATAACAGACTACCAATAGCACTTCACGGTACACTAAAAGCAAAAATTTCATCGGTATGCGAACCGGCAAAACTCCTGTTAACAGTAAATAGGACCAAATGATTATTGAGTCTTGATCTAAAAGGTCTATTTCGGATGCGCACGGTCCAAGAACGTTTCCAGCCTAACTTAGAAATATCATAATCCCCTATATCTGAAGAATCACATACTTGAAAGATTACATTTCATCCAAATACAACGATTTTTCTCCAGATAAGAAGGAGTGACAAATCATTTTGTCAATTTGGTCTTCAAGGACCCAATAATGTCAAATCAGAATAAAGGACGCAGATTCCACAATCACATCCAGCAGAAGGTGGGATTAAAAATATCCAAGTTGATAAAAAAGCCATATTATGATTTTAAACAAATGAACTAGCAATCAGTTCGTAATCCAGTTATTATCACTGCAAAAAAGACGGATCAAAAAAATTAGAAATTGATGCAAAACCGACAAAAACTGGAAGTTTTAAAAATCTATGTCAGATGTCTAATCTTTTACAACAAATCAACATTGTAGCCACAATTAACAAATCTGATAAAACTGGATCAGTTTGGTTCACGTCCCTTGATCTTAATTATGCTTTAGTCAACTTCGTTTTAGCGATTTAATCAGCAGTGATTGTAATTTCAGCAAGATATGCGGAGTCTTTACAGGCATAAATCATTGCAAACGGGATTTTGTGGTCTTACCGGCTTTCACAAAACCATGGTTAACACTTAACAATACAAACAGGAAATCATATATTTCAAAGGTAAGGTTTTAATTGTTTCGAAAGGGTCTACTCAGCTCACAAATGAATTTTGAACCAAAATGTACAACCAGAAAAAAATTACGACCAGAAAAAATCTCGAGTGCAATGTGCTGCTAGTCCCAGAGGGCTTGAAGCCACTCTGGATCAAAAATCACGAGAAGATAATTGGGTACCATTTTCTTTTGCATCACGACTACTAAGTGTTGAAGCGAAAAAGTAAAGTACTAATGAAATTGAGTCTTCTGGTCAGGTCAACATTTAAGGAATTAATTACAAGGAAACAGATTGGTAGTTTTAACCAATCATAAGGCCATTATTCCAGCCAGGAAAGCCTACAGAACACAATTCATAACAATTCAGACGACTAACCAGCTCTGCGGACAAACTGTTACACTTCAAAATTGAATTCAAAAATCTTGCATACTCGAAAAAAGCAATCGCTGATAATCTTTCACAAAACTCATCATCGGAATCCACCGATCTTTCTAATTTCGACAAACAGTTTGTTTTTAAATCCATTTAGAATTTTTTCAAAGCATGCGACACCATCGTGCATTTAGTGAAACCAGAAACTGTTGGCGATGAGTGTTCCCAGTAAAGTCGACACTGCGTCGGTTTTCAGAAGACTATAATCTGAACTTGCAAATAAATTGTTGTTTAGCATGCTACGCGTCACCCAGAGAACTCGAGGTGGTATCAATTGGAGAGAATCCCTCAGAGTACCCACGGAGTTTGAGTTTCTCCTAGTCAAAATATCTCTTCTCCAAATCCAACATCGAAACACAAACTTTCTCTCATCAGAGAACACTTTTAATTGATATTTCGAAATACAAATCACGCCCAAAACAATGACTTTGCTTCTTCTGTATCAATTGTACCCACTAGACCCGTCAGAAGCAAACAGAGATCATGGGTTCACTTACTCTTTTTCTTAATCTTCTCAGCGGTGACATCGATATGAACAGTAGCCCGCCCATTGAGCACACTTCTAGATTATGCAACAAAGCTACTACGAAGTCCCATTGAGCACACTTCTAGATTATGCAACAAAGCTACTACGAAGTCCCATCAATAACGGTGCTGTCATACGACAGATTGCGGATGGTTACATTCTTCATGTAGAGCCAAGGATCTACACGACGTCAGAAAACAAACTCCTTTTGCACAGGTTGCACCAGAGCACAACCCACGCCTCTTGTTACCGCGGACTTTGAAGCCACCAAAGGGCAGGCACAGGCTATGGTAGATTTGTTAATTTCGATTAGCACACTGCCTAAGTACATTGGAGATAATTAGGACGTACACTGGGAACTGGACACGCTCGGAGATCACTTAAAGAGCTGGAGAAAGAGACCGTATTGCTTGTCACCATCGTCTCCGTGATAAAATTTTTAGCGCCGAAACCTCTCCCTTCTTGAAGAAAGCTATCATATAACGGGTGTTCGAGAGGACATGGGCATGTCTATCACCCTTCATGGCGAGGTGGCCGCTCCACAGCCAAAGAAGTCATTGTTACCTCATCCCTCCAACTGGCTACCTTGCAACAATCAGAGATCAAACCTGGCATAACCCTCACTCTATCCTAAGAAAGGAAGATCACTGCTCATGGCTTCCACTGTAGCTCTGCGAGCTCATGCAAGCTCTTATTTTGGATCTCGTGAGAAAAAACGCGACCCTAACTTTAAACACAACAACTTAGTGACTTAGCATTAAGAGGGGCAAGACTCAATTTCCTTTTATATCACCTTTTTGCTTTTTTGCGTTAAAAAATTCTTCAATTTGTTTCCTTTTATATATGGCATATTTGAATTTAAAAAATGTATTTGATTTTTTGTGCAATTAATTTAATATAATTGCCTTGTTCAAGTTTTCACGTAACTGAATTTTTTAAGATCCGTTTCAATGGACGTACTCAAAACTAAGTCTCAATTGCTTCCTAAGGGCAAAGGAGAAGGATATTTATATAAAATTCACTAAAACATCTGTTCCAATTTGATTTTCTATTTTCTTATTGTTTCGGCTTTCGATACGAAAGTAACGGAATATTTGTGCTCGGGTGGGTTTTTTTCTTGAGACAAATTTCGACTTTTTAACTAGCCATTTCCAACGGAACTTTTTTAAATATCATTCAAAAGGTATTGTTGTCCCGAGCTTAAATTTGAAAAGATATTTTACCTGTGATCATTTTTCGTAAAGTTATGGGGGTTTAAAGATTGTCATTTTTGTTCCGACTTTCGATACAAAGTAATTGTTCCGACTTTCGATACGAAAGTAACGGAATATTTGTGCTCGGGTGGTTTTTTTCTTCGGACAAATTTCGACTTTTTAACTAGCCATTTCTGCCGGAACGATTTTAAATCATTCAAAAGTATTGTTGACCTGAGCTTAAAACTCAAAAGATACTTTACCTGTGATCATTTTTCGTAAAGTTATGGGGGTTTAAAGATTGTCATTTTTGTTCCGACTTTCGATACGAAAGTAATTGTTCCGGCTTTCGATACGAAAGCAACGGAATATTTGTGCTCGGAGAGGGTTTTTTCTTCAGACAAATTTCGACTTATTAACTAGCCATTTCTGACGGAAGTTTTTTGTATCATTCAAAAAAAGGTTTTGTTGTCCTGAGCTTAAATTTGAAAAGATATTTTACCTGTTATAGTTTTTCGTGAAGTTATGGGGTTTTAAAGATTGTCACTTTTTGTTCCGACTTTCGATACGAAAGTAATTGTTCCGATTTTGATGCGAAAGTAACGGAATATTTGTGCTCGGGGTGGGTTTTTTTTTCTTCAGACAAATTAAGACTTTTTAACTAGCCATTTCTGAAAGAACTTTTTTTATCATTCAAAAGGTATTGTTGTCCTGAGCTTAAATTTGAAAAGATATTTTACCTGTGATCTTTTTTCGTAAAGTTATGGGGGTTTAAAGATTGTCATTTTGGCCAATTAATGAGCGATATATTTCGCGCTACTAACGCGTGAGCGCAGAGTTAATCCGTCTTAGAAATCGTTCCAAATTAATTGAAAGAAACTTATATGCCATAAACTTATAAACTTATATGAAAGAAACTTATATTTCGCGCTACTAACGCGTGAGCGCAGAGTTAATCCGTCTTAGAAATCGTTCCAAATTAATTGAAAAAAACTTATATGCCATAATTGATATGCTGCAAGGAGCGAAATCTATATTTTTTTTTATATGGAGTGTGGGGTGATAATTTTCATTTAAAAAATTTCAAATTAAAAAAATTTCATTTTATTTTATTACATTTAATTTTTTTAAGGTTATTACTGCTCCATAAACTTTAAAAGGCAGTAGGAACATTCAGGGCTTCGCCCTGATACGAGCAGTCTTATTTGAATTCCTTCTAATTGCATCTTCGTAAGAATGCTTGTAGTCCACACAGGAATCGGGAGTTATGTGTAATAGGCGTCCAGACAATTCGGCCAACGACAATTCAGCAGATTTGAAATTCAGACAATTCAGCCAGAAGTATGCAGACAATTCAGCCAATAATAGTGACCGCCGCAGTCGCGCCAACGTGTTGCGAGCTTGCCAACACAGATAGGACTCTATACGAATTTTAGAGCCGTTAATCGCCGCGAAGCGGTGACGCGCGAATAGCGTGCCCACCGGCGACCTTAAACCGAGAAATTACTCCAGTTCTGATTTGTTTATTGAATCTAGTGTTATGTAAAACTGGCTGAATTGTCTCAGGCTGAACTGTCTGTTTATTTTTGGCTGAATTGCTTGAATTTCACACTGGCTGAATTGTCTTAGGCCGAATTGTCTGTGCGCCGTGTACTCATCTTCTCTGAATTTATTTAGATCTTTCTCCTCTCGTAATTTAAACGTTTCATCTTGCAGTCATGAGTCAAAAATTTTTTAGAAAAATTAATACGAATGATTGTAGATTCCGACTTCAGCACCAAAATATCAAAAACACTTCATAAGCAATATTTTGTTTCCATATTTAAAAACTTGCTTTTAACTTAGTAGAAAAAATCATAACAAAAACTTAATAGGCCTGCTTTTCTTGCCCAATTTTTCGTGTTAGCTTGCCTTGATTTCCTTTTTTTAAAAATTGAATCAAATTTCTATCCTGATGTGTCAAACTGAGGGGAGGCAAGGCGCATAAAGCCAAAAATACCGGTTCTGAAAGTAAGTTTAGGATCAATCTCATGAGTTATCAAAACCAATAAAAAGCTTTAGCAACTAATGCAGCTCTAATGAACTGCATAATATAACAAGACTGCTTGTATCAGGGCGAAGCCCTGAATGGTCCGACTGCCTTTTAAGGTTTATGGAGCAGTAATAACCTTATAAAAATTAAACGTAATAAAATAAAAAGAAAAAAAATTCTAAAACTTGAAGTTTTATATGCAAATCATCCCCCCACACGCCATTTCAAGTACAAGAGGATAATATTCGCTCCTCGCAACAAATCAATTATGGCGAACATGCTTCTTTCAATCAATTTGGAACGATTTCTAAGACGGATTAAATCTCCGCTTACGCGTTAATAGAGCGAGATATATCGCGCGTTAATTGTCCCAAATTGGCCAAAATGACAATCTTCAAACCCCCATAACTTAACAAAAAAGGATCAGAGGTGAATATCTTTTCAAATTTAAGCTCAGGACAACAATGCCTTTTGAATGATATAAGAAATTCCGTCAAAAAAGGGCTAGTTAAAAAGTCGAAATTTGTCTGAAGAAAAAAAAACCACCCTGAGCACAAATATTCCGTTACTTTCGTATCGGAAGTCGGAACAACAAACTTGACATATTGAGCCCTCTCGTCATTGCATTGTTTTTATTCGAATTGAATTGAAACAAAAAAAAATCTATTAAGTCCAAATAAATTGTAAGAAATTATGTTCCAGACCGAATAAATTAAACCATAAATGATATCGTTATTAAGCAAAGTGAGTTTTTTTGCATTGATAAAAGTTTTTGAATCACTCTCGTCACAATCCATGTGCTTCTCTCTTGTGCTTCGACAGATGAGAAGACCTTTCGAAACTAGCATTACATGAGTTGCACATATGAGGTTTGCGCACTACGTGAACGTGCAAAACATGTCGTTTTAAACTAAGTCGACTAGATAAAATCACACAGCAAAATTCACATTGCAACGGTTCGCCATTTGCATGCCATGATTTGTGAACTTCCAGATCGTCTTCATTTCTAAACGGAATACTGCATAAAGTACACATGAATTTGGACCCGTTAATAGTTCTCGGATCCGGACGTTCATCACGACTATGTTTCCGACGATGCCTCGCGAGTCTGAACCGATCTGCGAACGTCTCATCGCACTTCTCGCACATAAATCGATTTTCGCTCTCATTAGTTCCTTCAAAATCGTCAATGTCGAATGTCGGGATATCGTTCAATCGGTTGTTACTCGGCACCATGCTTGGCAATGCCGAATCAAATGTGAATTCTAGGGGCGCTGGAGGAGCAGCTGGAGGCGTCCCCGAATCCTCAGCGTCAAAAGATAGTATTTCATGGTCTTCACTTTTAACTACTTCGATCAGGTCTGAGCCCGAATGAGTTGAGTTCTCGTAACTTTCTATATCTTCGACTGTAGTTTTCAAATCAAATGTAACTTTCGGCTTACTCGAAGCTTCAAGGAAAAAAGTGTCTTCATTTTTGACTAGATCCATTTCACAGTTCTTGCATTTGGACCTGTCTTCTGGAGAACTATGAGACATCACATGGTCTTTTAAGTCACTTTCACTGCTGAAAACTTCGTCGCAAGGACCACATTGGCACAAGACTGGGCATAGTAACAAAGTCATTCCGTCACTTACTACACTTTCACTGTTTTCATTATTACTAAAAACCGAAAATGTATCAGAAACTGATTCTTCTTTAACATGATCGGCAGTTTCGATTTTAGCGAGCAAGTCTGAAACTTGATTTTCCAGTTGAGCAAAGCCGTTCAATAGAGGCGGTGTATCATTCTGTTGAGTTTGAACATGCTGAACTTGAATATGTGGCGGCAATGTAGTGATGTTGATTACATTACTTCGCTCGAGAGGTGGCGCTTTATCCGTTGGCCTCGTAATCGGGGGCGCCATCGAACTCATGACTATGGCCCTGTTAGTTGAGCCATTATTCGCGACTATGGCTAGATTCAGACGTTTTTCTAAATCCATGATATGGTTTTCTAAATGCGTTATCATTTGATGAGCGCTAGAGAACTTAGCTGAGCACTTAAAACATGCGTAAATATCACTTGCAATTTGATGCGCCGGATTAGTCGTGATGGTCGGAATACCGAAACTATTAACTATTTGATTATTAACCGAGGGTTTTCCCGACAAGTTCAAAGGGTTTGAAAACGAACTTCGAATCTCTGATGGGAAAGAAGAATTATTCACGTTGTTTGAAAGTGAAGTTGAGACTACATTAGGAGGCATGACCTCGGCTGACCCCTGATTTCCAAAACCTAATGACTTGCCGTCTGAAGATTGCACTTTCGTGTACTGATTTGAAGGTGATTTCACATCTAAACAAACCATTGACAAATATACTAGAAAATGGCATTAGTCACAGCGTTGAATTTCTCATTTTTATTTACCTTCGCGTATTTTTCTTCTTTTTCTCTAATCGAATCAACTTGACCGAGGATGATGATAACAGCTAGTTAAGAATTTTTTTAGACCATAATTTAAGACGAAGTTTTTAAAATGTTATTTTTGACTTCTCCCGAAGAATAACGCTCAAACATACCAAACCACTGCTTTTAACAACACTAGCAGTAAAACCTACTAACCAGTCTTGTGAACTTCCCTCTTGTGAGACCAAAGTTGAGTTTTGCTCGCAAATCCTTTGAAGCACAAATTGCACTTATGTGGCTTGTCCATGAAATGAAACTTCATATGATAGGACAAGTTGCACTGGAACCTGAAAGATCTCTGACATATACTGCACACGTAAGCACCACTCCAGTTAACACTCGTATCCCAGCCAGCATCTCTGGCTATTGACTCTACTATTTTGGACAAAGTGTTCACTCCAATCGGCTGATTATAATACCAGTCATTAGCTGTGTAATAGTCAGTCTTCGGTTTGCAGTAAAAAGCGACTGCATACCTCGGAAGTTTCGAGAGGTATAGTTTGATTATCTTCACAGGACAGTTCCAAGCCTCTGTTTTGTAAATTGTCGGCCGCTGAATATTATTGAACTCACGCCCGAATAAACTATCTTCGGTAAACTCAATTCGCTCGTTTTCATCTGTTCCGACTACTTTTATTTGGGAGTTGATCCCAGCTCGTAAGTTCCGATGCTCTTGGCGACTGCCAAGGTTGAAATGCTTTCCAACTAAGAAAAACACAGTCCGTAAAAGCATGGTTGGATCTGCAGTGCTCAGAACCTTCCGATCCCATAACTCCTTTTCCAAATTTTCAGTTATAACTCCTCGTTTCATTGAACTTTTGGCGGTCATAGTTCTCGATATCGGCTTCATTTTCTCATGTAGTGCTCTCTGGAACTCGGAGTACTTTTCATCCTTAAATATGTTGATCGAGATCTTTTCGTTATTCAAATACATTTGTATGATGCTGAATATGCTATAAAGAGTTCTCAGAGGGTAGTCTTTGCCGTCCGCTTGTTTACATTGCCTCGCAAACTGTGCCAGGAGGATTGGACTGTGTTTGAGTCTCGCTCGGAACAGGTTTTCCAAATCGCAGTCCGAAGTGGCCACGTCTGGGGAGTCGTGATTGATGATCCAGTTATTCCAGATCTCAGTGACCCAGCTGATGGATTCGGTTGATTTGGCAGACGAAATGACATCTGCAAGGCAAATAAAAGTTTTAACTATTAATTTAAAACATGCAAGTAAATCCAATGAAACTTCAAACTTATGCCCTAAAACTTATCATTTTCGCAGATTTATTTATCAGATACACTGCCGCCTATATCAAATTGGCGCTAAATTAGTTCTATCAGGAAACTTAATTCAATAAACGTTACAATGACTTCTGCATAAAGCTCGCTTTGTCATTGATCAATTGTACGTCAATCCCTCAAGCTAAAAACATCGCCCTGTCAATGCAAACAAAAAAAGCACACCCAAATTTTTCCAAAAAATCCGAGTTGCGACTTACCACAATACTTTCTCACTTTCCATTTAGACACTCTTGATGAGTCGTTTGTGGAACCACCCCCTTCCTCTGAGCCACAATCATCCTCGTTGTCATTAGCGTCGTCATCGTCTTCGCCAACCTCCGCGTTATCCTCATTCTTTCTTTTCATTCTTCCGTTGTGAAACCCTTTTTCGTCTCTCATTTCAAAGTCACTGCCGGCTTCGTAATCGTTGGTATCATTCCGATTAGCGGCCAAATGTCCTTCGTCTGCGTGATTGTCGTTTATCTTGATTTGTTCGTTCGAGTTATCGCTCGGCGAAAACGAATCAACAATAGCGTGAACATCTTTCAAGTGTTGAATCAGTTCTTCCGAAGTCACAAAGCTTTGCTGGCAATAATCGCACGTTCTCAGTAAGGAAAAATCCGACGATGAATCATCGTTGTTAACATTCTTTAGAAACTTGGCTGAGAAATTCTCCAGGGAATTATCTGATGTGCTGACGTTCGAGACGATGGTCGGCAACGAACCCGAAGTCAAAAAGGAAGACAAAATACTTCCTGTCGGCTTTTTCGCCCAATTTTCATCACTTCCGCGGTCAAATCCGCAAAAAGTTGGACTAGTTTCTGATACTCTATTCTGGTGGGTGAAGTTTTTGTTATCCGGGTTTTGATTTTTACCGGTCAAAAGATCACTCAAAGTGCTTCTTTCTTGATTATAACTCGGGATAATTTTTAATCTTGGAACTGTGGGAATTTGGGCTGTATTAGAGATCGAGTTTGTAAAATTCGAACTGGAAATTGAAACAATACCTGGGCATTTCGGCGAATTTCTATCGGAAGAATTAATTTCATATTTTATTGCCTCAAAGGTAGGATTTTGCTCGTTTTCTTTTTTTACATTTGCCATCGCATTGGCTGTCAACTTTTCCAAAATTGAATTCATCTTGGACGCCGGCTGTTGAGACGCTAAATTGGGGGAACTATCCGGGCTGGTTTCAACTGGGGTAATGAGAGGCGGTGGCGAGCTGAAGTTTTTGAGCAAATTTTCGAGGAGAAAACCTTCACATGAATCGCCGCCTGCCATATTTCGAAAATGAAAGAAAATGACAGAGCTAAGATATTTTCCGAGAGAGGGGATATTTTTAATGAAACAATGCGGGTAATTGAGTAAAAGGATCAGAGGGTATTCGCGATGACAAGGAATTGTTGATTTAACTAATTAGTTAATTGAAAGATTCCAGTCTTGATGATAGGATAAATTGACTCGGAAAATTCACTTTCCAGATATGTAATATTGTTGAGAACACTGAAAACAAAAACGCGAGTTAGTTTTACAATTACTATTTTCTGAAACAGGGCAAAAACGTAGTTCGTGGTTTGTCCTAGCTTAGCTAATAATGATGTGATCATTCCCCTATATATTGAGGACGTTAAATAGCGTACGGCGTCTTCCCGGTTTACAAAGTTTTATTATGAAAGCGACCAATTACATCGAGTTTCTTTACTTGTTGTTGCACGTGATAACATCACCCATCAGCATCACATTACATACGAAACGACTGCAGTTGTGGCCCCTTTAATGCGTTCCGGCTCGATGCTTCAAGTTTGCAAAGGAAACCTACAAATTACAAGTATAAAAATTAGGAGCGATATGCGACAACAGCGACGGGTTAGAAACTGGAAACAGACGACGGGAGGCATTTTTCTAACTATAAAGTTAACTTACATGTGTCCCCGGGCGGTGATTCTATTGCGTTGCTTCAAAGGAAGTTCTGACGTGTCTGCAATGTTGCCGTGTTATGAAAGCTCAAATGCGATGTATGAGGCTAAGCTATCGTTTCGCATTGTTAGTCGCGACGCCGTGTTTGGCCAGTGACAATTATTGAAAGATAAAGCTCAACACTCACTCACTAAGTTGGCAACACAACGCGAGCTTGGCAAATTGAGAGTCTAACAACGTAATTCTATGCAACCATAGGCAAAAGTAAGCAACTAGAATCGGAACAAATTTAATGTGAAGGTTGGTGAATAGTGGTGGTACTTACTTGGTGGATTATAATACACTGAGGACTAGGTTATGAACTGTATGGTAGCGCGGTGGTGGTACAACTACAGTTGTCGAGTTCGACTTGAGTTGGACCGAACTTCGTTGGTTAGTCGATATTACAATATTTGCGGAGCGCACTAAGAATTGTTCGAACCACGATACAACCGCGCAACGCAAAGTAGCACAGCAAATATTGAGCGCATATGGCGCGGCACGGCGATACGCTGACTTTAGTTCTTGCGTTGCGTTGCGATATCTCTCTCTTCTATTTCCATATTTGCTGCAACGATATCGCCTCAATTCAATTTTGTTCTCCGCGCAGCAGCGGAACGGCAGCGCGCCGCAATATTTGGGACGGCGGCACTTTAGTAGCAGCAACAGCAGCGCTCGTATCGTGCCATAGGACACACACAGGCACAAGGAATCACTAAAAATAAGAGGTTGGCACATATCTAGCTCCTAGTTCTATATCTCCATAGTTGAGTTGCTTGCTTGATAATGCGGCAATGCTGCAGTTTCCGCCGCTACTAACAACACCAACACAACCACCACCACAAGACATAACCATCATTTGTTGGTGGCTCTTAAAGTATGATCAGCTAACTGAAGTCATCTCAATCACGACAAAGGGGACAGTTCGCATCATAGCATATATAGAGAACAGTGTCGCCAGTCCCCCCCCCCCCCCCCCCCAATCCATATCGATTCGAGGTCAACGCATTGCAGTGTAGAGAAATATTTATTATCTACTTCTCAAGAATTAACTCTCGCCAATCATTAAGCGCTAGCCGAAAATTGCAAAACCAAACACCGTTAAGCGAGAGTAACCGAAAAAACCTGTCACTTGTTTCAGCATTAAGAGCGGAACATTGGAATACTCAGAAAGTAATTCAAGCAAGTAGCACATCTCAAAAGCACTAATTCACTTTGGATTGCCCAGCATTATTAAATTGACAGACAGCTTCATTTATCCCTCCCCCTTGTAGAGGTGGGTTGGCAATTCGAATATTAGCATTTGCCCAGCCGGAATTTTTTTCTACCAGGTACCATTAAGGTTTTTTAATGAGATACAATGATCCTAATAGTTTTTGCAGCAACTATTTTAGAAAGGGTTGAAAATTTGACACATGCTTGATGAAATATTTTAAAGGACTTTACAGGGTCAACAATTAGGAAATCTTGTTTTGAAGGCGTAAAATAGATAGGATATCATAACTAGTTTCCAAGGTGTTCTTTACTGTGGAAACATCGTCCCAAGCAACACAAAAGTTGAATTTATGGGATCAAATTGGTACTTTGAGAAGGCGATGAACTTGAATTTCTCTTAGTGCCGCGGAAAAATGACCGACAAAAAATTCAAAGAGTTACTTAGTCCAGCGTCGAAAACGGCTATGATTTTATAAGCAATTCATATAAGCCATATGAGCGCTGATGATCGAAATAAGCCAACAAAAACAGCTTCATCAAATTTTTCATGAAACCGACTTTTTCGATCCATGCACAAGATTCAAAAAGGCAGTTATTTTGTCTGTAAATTATTTCCATTTTTAGTCTAAGCGCTCAAAACCTTTCAATGTCTGTATCATAAAAACAAATACGACCGTTCTTCGATCAATTATCTGTTTCAATACTTTTGTCTGCCGTTTTTCCCCGCCATGAAAATAATCCAAGCTCAAGAACCAACTTCAGCCCATAAATTCAAATTGGTTGTGTTGTTTCCGAGGATGTTTCCACAGCAAGACCACCTTCATAACTATCCATGATGTACTGGACAATTTCAGCACTTCGCAAGCAAAATAGATAAGAAGGCGAAGAGTGAAAAAAGTTTAAAATTGAAATAAGGAAAAGTTAACTAAAATGCAAAACATAGCCAATCGAAGATTGGAAAAGAGTAATGAACGCAAGTAAACATATAAAACAAACTGGCTTATTGAAAAAAAAACTCGACTTTCGAATTTCAAAGAAAAAAAATAGATGCCCTTTGAATTTCAATTGAACCCAAAAAGTGCATATATACCTAAGTGCATCAATATTTTAAGACTTTTTTCTGAAAAAAAATCAGTAAGACCTATATAAGTCTTCACTACGTTCATTACTCTTAAAAAATTTTTTTAACATGTGCTGGAATCGAAGCCCCAACCTGCTAATTGAAAACTTCCGTACGTCCCGATATCTACAAACCTTGCTACAGTTAAAGCAAATACAACAAAATCTATCTGTATTACCAATGCTAAATCATTTTTAAGTCTGCCGGAATCAAACCAATAGATTGAGAATCTCACGTCCTTGCATCGGGGACATGATCACTTGTATATCTGCAAACAGTAGCCACCAAAATAACGCAGATACAACAGATTCTATTTAATTGCCAATGCTAGGCCGCAGAAATGCCAATGAGTATTTTTATTAGCGAGCTCGGCTACAAAAAATGGATTCGCAACCTGAGAACACTTTCGCTAGCTCGCATGTGTAATATGAACTCTGAAACGTAACAAAAAATTAAATGAAACAAAATTCGAAAATTCCGAGAGCAATTTTAACACAGAGGCGAAGCTGAGTTTCGCACCACCTGCGATGCAAAAGAAGGAAGCCGCTAAAATTGAAAAGCCGGCAAAACTAAACCTATAAAACTGATCAATGCTATATTTTAAACACAGTTGCCAAGACAATATTACCCGAAAATAGCATCGGAAGAGAACTTACCAAGCAGTAACAAAGCCGAAAATACGTTAACAGAAACCATTTAAGCTGAAAAAAAATCAAAAAGGGTCACCCTCTTCCTCAAAACACACACACAAAAACTTAATTTGCTAGTCATATCAAATAAAATGAGGCCACTAAGCCGATATAAAATCAGCCGAAACAAAAAAAAACAAAAAGTAATGAGAGTTATTAAGTCCCCTTCGCCGTCAAAACACACACAAAGATTTTTTCGCTCGTCAGAGGCAACATGAGGCCATTGGGCCGATATAATATTGGCCGAATATATCAAAACAAAAAAAAGAAGAAAATTTTATTTTCAACAGATCGAGCTGGTAAAATTACAAATTACATAACTTTGAATTATAATAAAATATGTTTGAAGCAAAATAAAACCAATGCTTTAAAAAATAATTCAAAACTGAACCAGGTAATATAAATGGCATTAAAAAACACGGGAAATGAGGATAAACTAGGATAAAAACCACAAATCCGTAAATTTATTTGAAAAAAAAAACAATTTGCCCGAAACGAACTCCACCTATCTACTACTTGCTTGATGGTAGTTATACTTGAATTTTCAAAAAATTGAGAATGTCAGCCATAAGCAAAACTTAAAATTCCGATTACACTAACCTCTGTGAACAAAATTATTTACGGGAAAAAGTCTAGAACCCGATTTCAATACCCTTGCTTATAGCAAGGGTAAAAAGCATATATTGAAACAACTTCAGTTTTCGTGTTCCATTCAGACTGCTTGTATATCAGGGTA